AAAAAAAAAAAAAAAAAAAAAAAAAAAGTAACAAGGGAAACTATTTACATTCATCTTTACAACTCTGTGTACTGCATAAATAGCCAAAAGGATAGGGGATATTGGACACTAACACCACAGTCACTGATGGGTGGTCCATTTCACAAAGTCTGTGTGTTTTTGATTTTTTGAGACAGGATCTCACTGTGTGGTCCAGGCTGGACTTTGAACTCATGGTGATCCTCCTGCCTCAGCCTCAGTGCTAGGATCACAGGCATGTGCCACCACGCCCAGCTCGATTCATATTTTGAGCACATGCATCACTTTAGGGTCAGGGGTTGACTTGCTGGCTATGTAGTCCAGGGTGAGGGCAAACAAGTGTGTGCCCCGAGGAGTCAGTGGAGAGGGTTTTCCTGTCGTGAATCACGACCTCACCACTTGGGAGGGAAGGGTGCCACACTCTTAGAGGACGGCAATGATTCAAGAGGAGGCGGATTTCTCATCTTCGACTTGCAAGGGGCTGTGTTTTCACCAGACTACCTGCTGATGTTGTAAGCAAACTGTTTTAAGATCTGCAGCTTCTGAGAATGCACGCAACGTTCAGGGAAGTGAAGGTTAAGATGGGCCGATTAGCCCTGCAGGGAGACAACAGAATGGACGGCGGGAGCTTTTGATACAAAGAGAATTGACTCACGGGGAAGAAATGGGCTGACAGAACATCGAGGCTGAGCAAAGTCTCCAGAATGAGCGCTTCACGCACGGGAGGGTTTAGCCTCTGAGCACAGTGCTGCTTATTTTAGGTCAGCAGGGGGAAAAAAGGGATTTTCTAAACATAGCTAGTGCTTAGAAAACTGGCCAGGCCTTTGGGAAAAAAAAACGAATAAACTTAGATTTCCTACGGAATCTGCCAGATGGATCAAAGATGTCAATGTAAAAAAAAAAAATGAAGTCAAGAAACATTTAGATAAGAGCAGAAGTGAGTTTATTTTTATGGTTTTGGAAGCTGAAGTTGTTTCTAAGCAGGATTCAAATCCCAGAAGTCATAAAGGGAAAAATAGATCGACTCAACTATAGAAACACTTAAATCCTCCAGAAGGAAAAGAAATCCATAGGTTAGTGGGCTCAAGGTTAACTTCCTGAACTTACAGGAGCTCACATAGAGCAAAGACAAGTGTAGAACAATCTACCTGGGTGTGGTGGTGTATACCTGTGATCCCAGCACTCTGGAAGCTGAGGCAGGAGGATCGCTGCTGTGAGTTCTGGGCTGGCCTGAGCTACAAAGCAAGACAAAAAAAAAAAAAAAAAGAACTAACCCATGAGGAGGGTTATATTGAACCTAGCAGAGGATTCTGTAATACAAGGTTTCAGGCACTCTTCTAAGAATTTTAAAATAACTGCTTTATTTTTTAAAAGGGGATGGAGGCACTATTACAT